TACTAGACGATTTTTTATAATAGCATGAAAAATAACAACCATTTATACGTCGGAATGAATAATTACTTAAGCTCGTTTATAAAAGCATACGCACTGCTGTGTAATACTTTAATAATAATATTATGTATACACGTTTATTATTTATAACATTTAATAACTTAAGTAACTGCGAAGTGAACTAATTATTTTTTATAATTATAATAGCCTCTACTGCGTGTAACAATATACACCTTGTAAAGTTGTACAACAAAATTAAATTACAATTTACGAAGCACTAGTAAAAACCTCACATGAGTAGGTATGATTATATTAATGAACATATATGTAGCTATATACCTAACCTAAGTTTAATTGTATTTAAATTTTTAGTAAAATGCGAGTAGGTAATTAAAAATTTAGAGATGTACATCATGCACACTGACACTGTTCGTAAAATACATTAATACAATATGTTGATGTTATGATAAAAATATTTACCAAAAACTATAAATTATTGCATCACACTACAAATAATTCACAAATTAACAGGTGTTTTAATATTTTTTATTGTACATTTGTTTTAAGATTTTATCTCAAATTCATACATTTATTGTTTACAATAAAATAATATAATAGAATATCTATACATGCATTATAATATTTAAAGCTTATGTAGATATTATCATACTATACAATTTATATTATATATTTAATGATATAATATACCTACGATAGTATAATATCATCAAAACTTATGTTAAAATCTGTGAAACTTAACTAAAACGGAATTTAATTGAGTTTGATTGCGTAACATTTAACTTTTTTTATAGAACTTTTTAATAAGCATATTCAGTCCTTAACCTAAAAATAGCTTTGCAGATAACGCGAATGCATTCAACTCGGTGTTGATATTATTATATAATTACCTTCCTCGATTTTCTCGTAGAATAATATATATAGTACACCTATAGTCGGTGATTCCGTTTCAGCAATGTTTAAACTGGTCCTCGATTTATTATATTATTTGAAATATTTAAATGCTATTCATTATTATTATAATTCAAATGGTCAAGATCAAAATATTTCACAATATTCGAATAGCAATTATAGGTAGGTACGAGGTACCGCTATACTATAATAATACCAAAACCTAATGATATGGACGTCGAAGAATGCACGTGCGATCCAATATTCGTAATCGGAAATATTTCTAGAGGGTCTTGTAAATTTATAACGAATATATATATATATATATATATAGGTATTCAAAACCGGACTGAAAAGTCCTTGGAAAGTATAGAATACCTACCACAAAAACACCGTACACGCGTATAAAATATAATTTGTGTTTTTTTTTATTTAAAAATTTTTTTTAATCTCTTTCATTATTATTAAACCGTCTCGACGATGACGACGGTACCTGTAATATATAGAGTAACCCGCCACGCAAACGCGAAACGGAATGCAAAACTTTCACAGTTCCCGGCAGAGGTGCCAGCTGACAAGTCCAACCCCCGTGTGTGTATAAGAGTGTGTTCGCCGACTACCTACTTGGAATATTATAATATAATATCTTGTGCAACTATTTATAAAATATAAAATAAATAATAATAATATATTATAACATACATACCCACCTATTAAATTTCTGCAGTTTACATATGTAGGCAGGTTCGCCTGAGAGCTTATATATATTCCGAGTTTACGATCGTGTTTATCTCACAATACGTGACTAGGGGTCATGTGCCGGGCAATGCGCAGAGTATATTTAATTTTTAATGGACATTATTTTATTGTGATCGCGATTATGCAACGTCGTTGGCAACTGGACGTACCGCGTCCTTGGAGGTCATTTTATTATTTTTATCATTACTATTATTATTATTATTGTAACTATTATTTGTTTGTATTTTTTTTTTTTCAAAGATGTTTCACTTTCACCATCAACGGTGATGACCATCAACCATGACCGGACAAACTGGAGCTTTGTCAGCGACTGTTCACGAAAAGCAGCAATTAAGGAACGAAATTATACCGTGTAAACCGCAAGCACTTGACGTTTTGGCTATTATTTCCATTGATGGGCACCTGAAGCATGGTGCACTGCACGTTACGAGTGAGAATGGTATAATATATTTAAATATTATACACATAAAAAAACCTAATAATTCGTCACCTTTTATTTTCAATAAGACGGCGTTTTGTGTATGCAATTTTAAGGTAACATAAAAACTCGACAAATCTATTAAGTACAATATATTATTATTGGCAACAATAACAATAACTTACAGCAGCGGGTGCGAGTGGTGCACTCGTATTATACGGATTAAAAAACGTAATTTTTTTTTTGACAGATTCGCGCTCTCGTAGGTATTACATTATTATGAACGATATATATATTTATAACGAAAACCTGTTCGATACGATCGAACTTCAAATATAATAACGCTTGACACCTATATACATTCTAAATTAAACCCAATTGCATTATTACATGCATGTATAATTATAAAACTAGAAACCTTGAAATCCTATAGTTACGAATTTGACAGTCGTAACGACTAGTGTTGACCGCCTAGCACAGTAGTACCTATACGTAGGTATAATACAGTAAACACGCATTAACAAATATTTGTGTAATAGTGATAAAGACATGTTGGTTTAACGGGCACTTGATTCATATTAAGTATATTAATTAGAAAAGACGTATTTTTATAAATGTATATTAATATCATATATGAAATGGGTTATTGCCTCGGATTGTTGCGAAGGACGCGACGGTAGATGTTGTTTATTAAAATATTATATTCCTCAAACCGTAAATCATTTTCCACGTTTATTATATTTTAACAGGTATTCGTCAACGAACATTTTTATATAACGATCTAGAACCACGGAGTTCAATTATTTTAATATGGTTTTAACGAATTGGTACCTATTAGGCATATTGTCCAACTCTTAAGTAAATTGAAAAAGTAATAATATCGAATTCGACGTGTACAGACGTCGAGACGTGTACCTACGACTGTTTGATTGAAAAATAGAAATAAATGTATAAGTATCTAAAGAATAAAGACGTTATATGCGGAGTAGTGTGCATAGTATACATTACGTGAACAAAACTTATAAACGTTATAACAATAATTAAAAAATCAAGTCTTGTTCGCATTATACGTATAGTGTATACCTCTACTGAAAATGGCAATTTAAAATTCTAGACAACAAAATTATATTGGCCTAAACATATATTATACATACAAGTATACATAACTTTCAAGATTTCACTTATTGCCTAACTGTTTTTTTAAAAATAATATCTAGGATTGTGATATTGGCTTTGCAGTAACTTTAATATCGTTTTAATATATTATATTTTAAAATTAAAATAAGTATTTGGTATCGTAAGGGTTCCTATAAGAAAAAATGCCCTCGAATAAAAGCAAAATATATAAAAATTCACTTACCCTTATTGAAAATTTCACTATTTCTGATGACTTCTGCGAACTCGCGCTGATACCGTCGGTACACTAATATAGTAATAAACATGTTGGGTGCTTCTATGCTTTCGTCAAGGTTGTTTTGCCCTACCTCTCTCATCCCTATACTAAGATCATACAGTTACGTAAAGATATCTCGTTAGACAATGATTGACCTTGGATAGATTATAATATCTAGTTCGGTATAGTAAACAATTAATAAAATTATATTAAAAAAGATCCTCCGATTGTTTTGCAGTTTTTCATCACTGTCTGGTCTAAGATAACACGATCGAGAAATATTATAAGGAAAAATGTAGGTATAGCTTGTCTTATATTATGAAGAATATATAAGAATAAAATAAATATACATAATTTTTTAATAGAAATAATCGTATATTAAGTCAGTACAATTTAAATATATTTTATAATTAACGCTTTGATTATTTTACATTAAACAAAAATAAAGTATACCTGCCTCGATAGTCAAGCTAAGATTTTAAATAACGTTTAATGCTCACAAATATAATAATTATTAAACATAAATTCTTTAGACTGTTAATTTTTTACTATCTACCTATTTAAATAATAGATTTCTATAATCTGGATGATAAAAAAATTATAAAACAACATTAATTAGAGATAGATATCATAGATGAAATAAAAACAGTTGAAAATGGTCCCCCTTCCTAAAAAAAAAATTCCTAAAAACTCAAACAAAAAACAAATACACAATATTGAATATAGGGATAAAATCTAAATTGCAAGTAGTTACGTAATAGTTATACAAATCTAAAGGAAAAAAATTTATTTTTTTTATTCAATTAAATTAAATTTTTATACAAACATTTCAACTGTCCTACATCTAGGTATAATACCAGATAGTTGACATTATGATAAGAACGATTTTGAGTTAAGACTGAATTAATACACAAAATACATGTGTACACTGTACATAATATGTAATATTTTATGTTTTAATTATCGACTATCGAGCTTAAATGGTAAATGACAACAACTCTTTTAAACAATAATAAAAATAATAAAATGTTTTAAACTTTAATTAATGTATAAAATGTATGTGATAAGTTATGTAAAAATGAAAAAAGTCTTCGATATGCAAGATGCCCATAAAATCATTAAATCACGAAAAATACAAAAAAATATGATAAATCGAAATTTCAGAATCCTTTTACAATGAAATGAATTTGTAGCTTGCGGGTTAATAGATAGCATTGTATAATAATTAATTGTAAAAAAAAAAAGCTATCAAAATACTATTTCCGATAATAATATGCATACCTAAGTTATATATTAGTTATTATTTTACACTTAATTACAACAAAACAAATTTAATACATCAATTAATTGGCAGGAAAATAAATCTCTTAGTGTATATTATAAATTATAAAACTAGCAACATAATATACTCGATTATAATAAATGCAATGATTCCAAAACTCTCTCTTCGCTTAAGAAAATGTATCATTAAAATACTATTTCGTATAGGTGGTGTTCGATCTAAAATAAATGTGGCTATATATTTCACGAGGTCGTTGGGAAATCGGCCCATTTGTTCAGGTTTAACGATGGAATAATTCCGCTACGACATGGTACTCGAGGATTTCTGCAAAAAAGACAAGTTAATTAAAATTACGTTTACATATTATTTATTATTTAATGAAACGATAAAAAGTTTACCAACTAATAAAGTGTTAAATTGTATTTGTTTGAGTATATTATTATATTAATCACTATTTGTTTCAAAAATAAAAATTGTATTACTACTTAATGGACTAAATCCGATGAGTTCTTAATAATTTTTATTTGACTATAGTTGATTTAATTTAAAGTGGACGAGACTTTTTCTACTAAACGGGATTACATATTTTTTAAATACCTGCAAATTGAGAGGGATCAGAGAAATATTTCTCGTTTTACTTTTATTTAAATTTAAATTAATAAAGTGTTAAGCTAATTAATAAGACAGTATGAAGGTCACTTTTACAATTATTTTTCTAACATAAGGTTAAAAAAAAAATATGAAATAATATCTAATATATTCAACACTTCAACGAATAACTTCTTGATATTTTTTCCTATATAAATAATAAATATATTAATTATATATTTTTTTACATCACACAATAAAAAATGTCAAACCTTTTAAGACTTAAGCTTAATGTCTTAATGAAACATTTAATTGCACCTATTACTACACCTATATTATTCAATTTAAAAACAAATCAATGACATTTTAATTTTATTTTTAATACATAAAACTATAATAGTATTGTTTACATTTTGAAAATATATTTATTTTAAATCTATTATGAACAAATGAAATGTTGTTTATATTAAATTTTAAAAATTGTCGGATTGGACGTTTATCTTCACAGACAAAACTTAATATTAAGTTTGATAACAATCGAATTAAAAATATAAGTGTAGGCGGTATCTAAATATTTCTTACATTTCATGATCAGGAAGTACAATTGGCCACAGTTGAATAGTGTCGATCAAATCAGTGTTATCACACAACACTCGAGCTAATCTTGTTTTTCGGATTTCTTGTAATTGATCTAAATATTATATTTTAAAATCATATTTTTAATATTTGATTATTTATTTATTAAGTATGTATTGTTTGACTTGAATACCTGGAGTAAACGAAGATGGTTGATTTGGCAGTTCGTACCAAAAACGATCACCTCTTTTTGCATAACTAAATTGGGTAGCCAAAATACACGAAAATACCGGACCTGCCATGCTTCCTGGTAATGGTTTTTCGGATACACCGCCAGACCATAAATCTACATCTTCTGGAGAACTGTTGGAGTAAAATTAATTTAATAAATTATAATATTAAACTTTTGGATTCTTACTTACTCGTATATGGTCGAATATCGGTGAATAGTGGAGTTAGGCATGTCTCCAGATAAGCTTTGGAATAAGTCAGACGCTGGTAGGCCACAAAACTTCCTAAAATAAATAACATTTACATCATTAATTATGATAAAAAATAATAAATACTTCTTACACCATAATCAGTTAAGTATAAAAACTAAATTTGGTACATTATGTGTGAATGAAAAAAATTACTAAATTTCAAACAAGAAATATATTGACAGTCAAACACCACATAACACAATAGATATTTGAGAAGCCTAATTAACTACAACCAGACCTACAATCCAAAATAAACATCGATAACGTCTTAAAATTAAAAAAAGGGGCTCTACTGTACAGTAGGTTACAAGTGCGTCACCGAATAATGGATGGTATCAAATTTGAATTCAATGATATAATATCATTGTATAAGAAAAACGATTCTTAGCGAAAACGGTTAGTCAGCCTATGATATTACGAAGTATATTTGATGATACTAAGGTGAATAAAGTAATTTATATATAACCAATTTACGTAGAAACTTGTTTTAAATTTTCAATCATTAGCTATAAAAGTTGAACTTTTTATAAATTTTTAACTACAAAATTATTATTAAATTTTAAATGTGATACATTTTGTCAAAATTCGAACTTTAAATGCTTATAAAAAAAATTGTGTCTATGTATTTTTAATATTATTCAACTGATATTGTAACAATATATTAGGAACCTTGATTAAATTTTTACACTTTTTGATCCAACAGATGAAACTTTATTGATATTTATAGAAAAAAAATAAAAAAATTTAAAACTGAAAATGTCCGCAAACCGCTCAAAAAGAGTCAAAATATTTTCAAAATTATATGGTGTATAGGAAATGCTAATATAAACATTCAGTGAAATTTTCAAGTATCTACAGTCATTTGTTTTTTAATTACAACAAAATTAGAAAATCGTTACATGAAAAATCGAGTGAATATCAAATGTTGCAAAAACATGAATTTCAAACGCTCATAAAAATTTAATTTGAGTTTATTGTAGACATTTATTTTTGATAAAGGTAGAAAAACTTATGAGGAATCTTGTATTACATTTTCATATCTTAGATTTAAGAAGAAAATTTTTTATGAATTTCTAACTCTAAATGATTTGCAAATTTTCTTCATTTTTACGTATTTTGTCAATATTTGAACTTTAAATGCTTATAACAAAAAACTGTAACTAAGGATTTTTAATATTTTTCATCTTTCCTTGAAAAAATATATTAGGAGCATTCTATTAAATTTTTAAGCTTTTGACCCAACAAAAAAATTTTTAAAAAAATGGAAACTGAAAATGTCCGTAAAGAGCTCAAAATAACTCAAAATATTTGGAAAATTATATACTTCTGATGTTATTTAGATCTATAATAAAAAAATATATTAAAAAATTAAGAAATGTTAGTTGTTGAGTTGAAAACGATGGTTGTAAATAAGTCTGTACTTATAAATGAAACAAATTCGTGAATTAAATTGCTATTAAAATATGAGTATATGCCATCAGTACTAAATTATTATTTGCATTAAATTAAAGTTCACATTATACACGTAAACGTATTCAAGCGAAAATTTAACAATATTTTTTTACTATGTAACAACTATTTAGATTAAACACATTCTTTTTGACATACCAATTTTTATTATATTTTATGCATTTTCGATTTTAATTACAATAGCATAGTGCACAATAGCATACCAAATTCTCACTATATCTAATTCAAGAAGTATAGCACTAAGCACAAGGAGAAAAATTAATTTTACAAAATATTTCAGAAAATATCTTTTTCTGTTTTATTTTTTTTCCTAATTTTATTTCCATAAAAACTGAATTATTGAATTTTTATTTTTAAGAACTAAAAAATACGAATGTTCAATTATTCATATTGCATTTTATAAGTAGGTTCCTAATTCAAATACTTTTGAAATCATAATAGATTCACATTTTACTTTATAAGACCTTTAGATTGTAAAATCAAACTTTAATATTTTTTTTTAAATTACGAATTATGTCGATGTTGAATACATAGGGTTTGCAGGTTAGCTATTATAGAGCAGCACAGCTAGAATTATATCTAATGACGTAATTAACAACGATCGTAAATCACAACGATTTCCCACTCTCCCTGTTTATAATCTGAATGATTAAAATTTTCAAACAGTTGCGTTAAGTCCTATGCAGGAGCATAATTCTTTTATTTAACATTATTTTAACTATGAGTTCGTACCCACACAACTGAGATTTTAATTATCGAAGTATTATATTATAATATTACATTACACTTAATATAATTATTTGTAAAAAACATATTCACTAATCGCCAAACAATATTTTACCTGTATTCCATGTATCCGGGTAAACCAAAATCTCTGCCTCTTTGGATATTAAATGATACTAAGTCCACTCCAAACCTCATACCCGGTTTCTTCAGCAACAGGTTCGTAACCTCTTGCGTTACTGAATCGTCCATAGCCTGAGCAACTTGATTAGTCAAGCCCATTATGTACTCATCAAGAACTCCAGCTCTATACAAATCATATGGACGGCGGATAAGATCGGACAATTTTTTAGAAGCTAAACGAACATGAATTAAGATTTTAGATATTTGTTATTGTATTGTAATGTGCATAATATTATTATGTACTATTTATATAGTCGTTTTGATTTATTCTATTTTACCTATGAATTTGTGAGCTCTGCTCCATCTTTCAATCGAAGTGGGCAAAAATGTGTGACCAATTCTGAGAGCTGCTGCTGAAAATTCGGAGAGGATGTTGGGGTTAACATTCGAGTCATAACCATCCCAATAGCCCTAAATAAAAATGCATATTAACATATTTTATAATAAAATTGTCTTATGAGTATTAATTAAGATAATCATTTATTATTGAATGAGTTTTGTTTTGAGTAGTAGATAGGTAAACTGGTAAACGGTCTGTGGTCAATGGTCATACACCAGAAAATACAAACATTTCTAAAACTAATTATTATTATTACAGTATTTTAACTGTAGACGATAGACATTTAATCTAATATTAAATAATCAATAATCATCAATGGGGATATTCCAAAAACTTCTAAATTGCGCTAAATTATGTAGTTTATATGTATGTATATAAATTACATAATTTAGCACAATTTAGAAGTTTTTTAATATTTATATATATTAAATATTATATAACATTTGTGGAAATTTGTAATATATAAAAATACAACAGTTAAAAAGTGCAAAATTCAGAAACACTTATTAAACTTGTACAATGTACATCTTGACATGAATTTGCTCAGAAAAAATGAATTCATATAAATGTATGAAATATCAATATTTTAAATTTACACAGACATTTGTATAAATATATAATGAATTATTTATGTAAGCATCATAAATGTATATATCACTGACACTCAAATTTAATTCAAATATTGGTAGTATACAGTTTGTATAGTTGAGATAGGTCAACTGACTAGGTATCTAACTAGATAAATTTACGAAATTTAACAAATGTTTAGAATATACGATACTATGCTCCAAGTATATTAATTATTGTTAATTAATTTTTAATTTTATATTAATATGATAAAAAATATATATTTTTAACTCAAATTTTAGGTTTAACATTTTTTAATTTAATAATGCATATAGTTTCATTTAGTGTTATAATTTTAGCCTTTAGAAATTTCTATTATAAACTGTTCAAATTACTTCTTTTTGTAAAAGCAGTCCGAATTTTTCCATCACTCCTTTCCCAAGTAATGTTGGCAAAAACTCATTATAAGTTATGTGCTGAATTTCTGCTATAACGATCCGTCTTGCTTCTTGGAAAATAGTTTCGTCATCCCAATGTGGATTGATTTTGCCGAATTCTTTTGCTATTCTATTATGTTCTCTTGCCCATATAATATGCATAGTAGCAAGTACGAGTTGTTCATTTACTCGAACTTCTCCTGTAAATTATATATTTGTTTATATTTAATGACTATTGTAAATGTGGCCATGTAGATTGTAGATATATGTAAAACAACTATATAAAAATATAGGTATAGCAATATATAGTAAATAATACCGGCATCAAAACAATATTGCGAACGGTTTAATCTAGTACATCCTTCGTCGGGATCTTTAAGTCTCAAAGGCAACAAATCTTTTAGTCCATGATGCATAAACGCTGGGTTCATGCGAAGTAAACCAGCATAACCAGTTCTTAAATGTCTATAAAAAAACAGAGATGGTTATAAATCGTGTAATAATAAATTATTGGTTACATTTTTAGCTAGGGTATAACCGTATAACTATCAAAATACAAACAAATTAAACTTTGCCTTGAAATATTGACAAAGATTTTTATTGTCATATTAAAATATTTAATTTTTGCATGGTCCTAATATATCATAATATAGGATATATCATATTTTTATACAATATAAGTAATAAAATAGAAAGTTCATATTTTAAATTTCATTATGTGTATTTTGCATATTTGACCCCTATTGTTTCACCAATAAGTACAAATTTGTCTAGTTCTCAAATATTGATTAAAATGTCAGCTTTATACACTTATAATAATTTATTTTGAAATTGATATAGTTCAATTTTTAAAAATGTTTACATTTATAGTTCATAACAAAATAACTATTTTTCAGAAAAAAACTATATAATAAATCTAAAATACATACTTAACCAAGCATGAGTCATAAATAACAACTCAAATAATAGTATAGGTACATATTTTAGCCAACAAATATTTAGTTATTTGTTATAGATTAATTAATCAACGCAATATCGAAACTTTTTTCCTGCCAGGATAAGAGTTCAATTGTATATATTATATATAAATAGGACTATAAAAAAAAAATTTAATGAATATTTTAAAACCTATTAAAGTTTGTAAGGACATACCTAGCGTAATCTTCAGTCACACTGTAAACTGTATTTGCATCTATTACTCCTGTCAACGTGTTGAACGGTACCCTTGAGCCTAAAAATTACAAAATACATTTTTTTAATTTGGTACCTAATACTGTGTAAGTATGTGACATCAATATTATGCAGGAACAATAAAATAATGTGGCCTGGTCTGGAATGGTGGTTGGCCTCAGTCACTAACATGTTCTGAGGTCAAGCTTCGGCCGGTGTCACTAGCTCTCGGATGGGTGACCACCCGGGTTTTTAGTGACAAATCCTCACCACACGGTATGTAACCGTACCCTCACCCACTGTAATAACCGACTAAAAAATAACCTTCAGATGTCAAAAACTTAACTAAAACAAAAAAAAATATATTTATTGAAATAAGTTAATGAATTCAATGAACGTGTTGAATTGACATTTTAACGCCTAATTACCTAACAATATTCACGTCATTCTGATTTATTATTTAGCTAGTCAGTTAATATTATTTTAGGTTCTGAAAAATTAAAAAATGTGTTGCTTTTATTTATTTTGCTTCTTAATACATTTTAAAGAAATAGTGCTACAAAATATTCAATTAGCCAATTTTTACTACTTAGCTATGTGTCATTATATTTTATATTCTATTTATAAGTACATGAGTAAAACTGTAAAAATGGTTTCTTACCTAAGCGACATCCTGGTCTTACAGATGGAAAAGCTCTTACAAAATCGATGCATTTTACATTAAATTTACTGTAGAAGTAATCATCATCAGGAACAGGTATTTCGTTGCAGTAAGGATGTTTTAAATGTGGAGGTCGATTGCAGCATTCTTCTGGTTCATTCTTAGTAATTGGGTCTATAAAGAAGACGGGTTTGGTTCAGATTTGGCCATTTATTAACACATTATTTTTTAAAAAAATTTTCGTTTGTCGTTGTTGTTTATTATACGATCCATATTAAATACATGCTTCATCTGGTTACCGTACTAAGAAGATTTTAAGTCAAGACTTACCGGCGGGCGTTCCCATAAGTGTGAAATCGTGGTCCATAAACTGACCAAATGCGACCAACAACACGGTAGCAGCGTGTTCGTGGTATCCCTCGTCGGGGTGCATTGTCCTGGAAACCACTCTGGCTATCGGTAGATCTCGGTTGTTGAGGCTGCTGACTTTTGGCGCACTCATGCCGTCGGAAAACAGTGGTCCAACCAGCCTGGAAAAGGGGGTATTGGTAGCACCCCACGTCGGATGCTTGACGTTGTTACACAGACCGTCATATCTCCTGTACTTGCCCGGTCTGCACTCGACGTTGGATAAGAAAGCCGGACACACCTCTCTGATTAAAGTCCTCGACGTGTCTATCTGAGGCAATCCTTTTTCTACTTCTTCGTACGAAAGTCCATAGCTATAAAATATTATTGTAAGCGTAATTATAGATACTTAGTTATCTTCTATCCGCCGCAAAGAGTATCATGATTCGTGGGTACACCTTACTTTTTAGTCAACTGTATGGATATGTCCAACAATAGTTCCCCGACGGATGCCAACTCTTGAGCCGTCCACTTGTCTGTATTTGTTTGTGCCACATCTGAAATAATCAAATATTTATATAAATCGTAATATTTGCTTAATGATTGCTAATATTAGTTTTATTTATATTTATTAGAAAATTTCAGTTTTTTAATATCAGAGAGGTTGCACATATAAGTATAACACTCTCTTTGAAAATCAGAGCACTTGTATAAAACAGCTTGGTACAACACGTTTGGGGGCATTTTATTCCCAAAAAGGGTCACGTTTAGGAACTTTTTTTCTGATGTCTTAAACTCTTAACACTGGTGTTTGGACACTTTAAAGTCTACAGTAAGTGTATACACACTTTTTTTCTTACCTACGTAAAAATATATACTATTTTTATGTACGTTTTTAATGAGTTGATAAGTTTGAAATCATAATTATTATATTATGAACATGAATAAAAACTAAAAGCTGTGAGCGCGTTAAGTCGAAAATAATAATAATGGGAACTCGACATCAAGGAAATACAATTCGAGTTTAAATTGTTTTAATTATAATGCATAATATTTATATTATTATATTAATGATTATTATAAAAAAAAAAATGGCAAAAAACGTTTCTCACGTATGTATTTTAATTATAATAGATAATATAGGTTGGATAATAATATAATAAATGGTAATATGTGATAATTTATTATATATGGCTTATATAATACGGCTTATGGCTATTGTACTTCTTAACAAATGGTGTATAATTCTTTCATTTTAATGTAGTGAACATTTTAGTGTAGGTAGTTTGTTGTTTCGCCCGGTATGTTTCTTACTGATGGGAGAGATTGTTCAAGGTTGAATTCAATTATTCTAAAAGTTTTACTGCATTTCCGTATATTTTTGGTATTATCAGTCAAACACCTATTTAACGGATCGTACCATCTTGCAATATGATGTAAGCGAATGCAAATAAATAATCAGATTCCTCAACTGTAAATATCCACTGTCGAGTCAAACCGGTTGTGAAAACTGTATGCACCTTTCACTGGCAATAGTGAATAGAGTTCATACTTGATACTTGTATAGGTATTCTGCTGGGAGAATTTTACAATAATTTTTAAGCTTTTTATCAATATAATATTATTATATAAGACTATTAACCGATTCCACTCGGAAAAAATTATTAATTAAAAAAAGCGATAGCCACTCCGTGTATTTCGGTTCGAGTGTGATGACTATTCACGAACCAATCGGTTTAGCAAGTTTGGACCGACTAAAATGAACTTACCTAACTTTACAACAAATGTAAATAATATTGATTTTCAACTGTGGCACATTTAGTGGTTCCTTAGAATTTGTTTATTTTTAAATGTCGCTGTAAGACAGGAAAGATTTTTTTCTTCTGTGTAATCAATGGCAACCATAAGTAAACAAATAATTGAAAATAATAAATTAGTCCCCTTTCATAATCAAATGGCTCCAACATTTAGGGGTTGAATTTTGGGATAAAAATTAATTATTTTATGTTACTCGTTGCAAAGTCCTCTAACTGACAGTCAAAACAAGGTCAAATTAGTTCACCCATTTCAATTTTATTTTCATAAATATTGGGAAGAAAAAACATTTAACTAATTGTAATATAACTTAATTATAGTCTTTAGGGCTGAGCTACTATAGACGATTAAGTTATATCTTTTTTTTTGAAAATTTAACAGTATTGAATCTATATTTACTAAAAAATGCAAAACTGAGTTTTAGTCGTTTATTTCTTAATTTGTTTTTATTCAAATACTTACTAATTCTTTTTCTAGCATCTACGTATGCTTGGTTGACTGCTTCATAAGTGATACATTGACCTGATTGACCCATACCTCTATTGAATAAAAAATAATAAATGTACTATAATACAATATTGACACACCTTTAACCGTGACGATATTATAATACATCAGTTAATTTGTCTGTGCCTATTAAATAGTTGTTATACATCACTATATCAGTAGGTATAACGAGTAACAACACATTCATAATAATTATTAACATAATTAACATTTCGTAAATTGTATTGTTCTTTCGTATTTGAATTTGTATCATAATAGTCTTAACTAATATTTACAAACCAAAAAACCTAAAAAAAAAATATAAATAATGAAAACTGAAAAATTTAGATACTTACAGTGGACCACCCCTCAATGTGTTAGTATTGAAATCGAAAAAACTGGTTCTTCCTGGACCAGTTAGATGTAGTGCACATTCGGCATCTAAAGATTGAGATGTTCCAAAAGTGCATAGTGCCAGAACTGAACTGACAGTTACAAATATTCTGTAGAAAATCATCATGGAAATTTCAAGTACTAAAAAATTATCAATCATTAATTATTTTAAAAATGTAATATATTTAACGTGATCATATCCCTAATGCGCTTTAACAAGGACAATTTATTAAATATAAAATGTTTACAAATAATTATTGTTTTAAATACTCTTGAGTATATGTACCTAATACGAATACCTATTACCTACGTTCAATATATTCTAGGGTAATCTAAACTAATATTATCTAGGAGTGTCGTTAACATTATTTTAAAGCAATAAAAGCACAATCGAGGATTGATTATAAGTTATAGATACTCTTTTATATTTCAAATAATTCGCAATAGCTTCAATGTGTTATTAACTAAATAAATTTTGAAAACTATTTAATAACGGGATGTTTATATCTTTAAAATGAACCATATACACAATTTATTAAATAGGTAGTCATTTTGATTACATTCTTTAGCACTGTAATCATAATTGTATAATCCGATTTTGAATTTTAAGTAGGTACCCACATAAATAATTTTAATTAAGTATATATATTTCTTAAATTATTGTAACTTAAAGGTAGTAAACTTGTAACTATTGTTACTCTCATTCCAATATTTAAAAAATAACTTAACAAGTACCATGTGTATAATTATCTATTTTTCAGAATCCTGGTCAATTGCTTATGTATAAATACATTTTATAATATTCTTATTTATTTGTATTCACATGCAAAATGAGATGTTGGATTTTTATAGTTAAAAAATAATTCTATACACAATAGAATGAGCTTATAACAACCATGATATTTTCTAAAATATAAAAGTGTGAATATACCAAGAATTTATTTTGTACAGTTCTTTTTTTCTAACAAACCATAGAAGATAATACATCAAAGAAAATTATTTTGTATCAAAAAATGGTACTTTTAAATTGTTTTCTAAAATATTAAACATAATTTATACTTTCATATTAAATGTTGAACGTATTCATCCAATAAAAATGATAGCGGGATCATGTAAAGCATAACAATTGTTTGGTAAGAACCTAGCTTGAATAAGTGCGAATCTTTAAATTAGCTCTATTAAAGTAATAATAAGTATTATAGTGTATTACATTTTTTTATAATCGCATGATATGTTTGCGTAGCAACTAGAAGAAAACATATTATTATTACCAAACTATTACAGACTCAATTATTCAGAATATTAACATTCAGGTAAGTACCAGATGAACTCTATGACCTGTTGTTTGTTAACAATCTAATAGTAATTGGTAATTTTATACGGAACACTCGTGTTATAATAAATATACATGTATACAGTCTTCCTTAAATATTTAAGGTATAGCGAATACTTTCATACAATTCTTTGATATAAAAACAAAGACAATTTTCGGGCATAAAGGCAGACATTCAAGATTAATATCTGAGTCATAGAGCATAATTATTATTAATTACACATATTTTATTTTTACCGTTAATAACATAATATGTATTTCTTAGTAATTTAATAAGTTTCTAATATTTTTTTACAAATTATCGATACGTCGATATTTTTATGTTGCATCTTTGTCTATATCTTAATCTGTAAGCACGTTTCAACAGTTATAAGTACCACGATTTGGGCTCACCCACAAATTTACTAACATCCTCGTCAGAACGAAATTATAATCATTATTATGATTCCAATCATGCGGGACTTTATTTGAATATCATAGCCTCAAATCATTGTAATCGCTTATATAACTTGACTTCCTTTACAAATTTATAATGTCACGGGGATTTATCCTATAAATAGTGGTGAAGAAATGCTAAACTCGGCCAAACAATCGTTAATTACACCTACGTATAGGTATAATCAGGATCCTGGTTACATCGAAGTTCAAGGTTACGATGGGTGTGTGGATTATTGGAGATGACTCCATCTTGTAATTACACATCTTAAGACGTATACCCGCACGGCCGCACGTATTTAAATATGTAAATATGCTGCGGTTTGTAATATGCGAAATGTTTAACAGGACTAAAATGAACTTGGCGTTAGCTATAAAAATACTAAATTAAACTAAAAAATACCTACTAAAACACACTCCACATTATCCTTAAAATATTAGTAACTTATAAATTATGATGAATAAACAAATCAGTAACATATCAATAAGTACATATCCTGTAACGGTTGTAACTGTTACTCTGCGACCACTGACCACACGTCCCCATGAATGTTTAATAACTAATATTATACTTGACGAAAAATCTAATGCAAAAATATCAGTATTTTTAAAAAAATTCAAACCGATTGTAAAGTATACGATACATACAGAGTGGGCCACGGGAATAGAGGCAAAAATAGACAGGTTTTTTTCAACGTTGAATGTGAGTAGGAAGGTCTAGATAAGTTCATTCGATCCTTCAGATAATGCCATTTCGTTGTCACTATGGCACTATGGAGTGTAGTTCACCGTGTGTTTGAGTACGACGCGTTAGTGAAAAACAATGAATCCGGTAGTTAAGGTTTAGCACGCATTCAGACGGTAAGACTCCGTATTATTTCCGCATTCAGACTTCACTTCAGCGTCGGACGTCTCGGTGCTGCTCTCAATGGGTAAACAATTATGAGGTGGGTAGATAGTTTTCGAACGGGGACAGTTAATAAAAAAATACCAAATGGTCCCAAACATCCTGTAACAACTCCCGATAATACGGAGTTTTACCGTCTGAATGCGTGCTGCACCTTACTACCGGATTCATTGTTTTTCACAAACGCATCGTACGCAAACACACGGTAAACGACACTCTACTGCTCCATAGTGACAACTAAACGGCATTATCTGAAGTTCCTACTCACATTCAAATTTGAGAAAAACCCGTCTATTTTTGTAAATATTCCCATGGCCCAGTCTGTATATAGTTTATGCTAAATAAGTAGTATATACCATAATTTATTATAATATTATAATTAAAATGTTTTTTTAACGATTATGCATGTTGTATCGTTTAATACCCAGATTATAAATACCTACGGGTTACAAAATATAATAAATTATGGAGTATGGACTATGAATATATATCTGAATCAGTGGTGGGAGGGGTAAATTTAGTTAGGAGGGTGGCAGGTAAAACATTTCACAAGAGGAATTTTTAACTAACTTCAATGCCACTGCTGACTAATAATATTGTAATAGTGAATTAAAAATGTTTTAAATAGAACTGTATTTAAATTTTAAGTTTTAAGCTTTATGATGAGTTAACGAAAAAAATAAAAATAAATAAAACTAAGAGGTTGTTAATTTTCAAAATAATGAATTAATTAAACATTACATAACAGATAACACTATACCTATAGAACAGACAATAATATTTAAATAATTTTATTCTTAAAACTATCTGCTAAACAATGATATAATACCCAACTAGGTAGTATGCATTGCCATATTGTCCATTCAATTTTTATTTTAATAACACACATTAAATATGCGTTGTTGTAGATCTTGTATTATATTAAAAATAGTTATTAACATTCCAAAAGTTTTACAAGGATAAAATTACACAATCTGCAAAACTTATAAAAATATAATTCTAAAAATATGCCTGTATAGGAGGTAACGTGTACCAGAAATACCCATTATTCAACATTTTAATTTTATTTTAAACTACAATAATACAATATTGTTATAATAAATGTATAAGTAATTGATCGTCTGTAGAGAAAGTAGGCACCAATAAAAAATAATAATTTTCCTATTATATATATTGAATATAAATAATCACACAGTAATGGTAAAATTATGTTTTTCTATTATACCTATTACCGTAGTTTCTTTGATAAACTTAAAGGTTTATTAAAAAGTAAACAATCTGTTGGAAAAAAAATAATGATAAAAGTAAACAAGTATAAAGCAAAATAAAGTGATATGAATAATATACTTTTGGATGTAAACCATCCATTAATTATAATTTATAACGACACTTTACTTTCAGTTTATTAATAATTTTCTAAAACTGGTCACGACTCATGACGCCAATTGGCAATAATTATGATTTAACCTATAGCAGGAATTGCCTGGGAAACGTGCTGATAGGACACGATGTGATGATGACAAGTCCTTACTTCCTCCTGTACTGCATTAGAGAAAGACCATTATGGAGCATGACGTTCGAGAATCGAGAAAAATGTGGAAGTGCAGTTTTTATGTAATATAATATCTTAACATTGGGAATTTTATTTATTTTTTATTTTTATTTAATCAGATAATTCGACTTAAGTATGGTATTCAACTTTAGAAATCGATCCCTAATAGAGTAAACGAGGTTAAATGGTTCAAAGTATAATATAATATATAATATTGTATAAATATATATATATATATGCATATACATATAATATGAAGGTACTCGTCCAATATGCTATCTACAGTAATATTGTATGTTGGTTTAGTATGATAAATGCAGTATTTCTACTGCATTACACGGTACATGTTTGGCCAGTTGGTCAGTTGGTAATAAGCCAGGTATTTTTAAAAAAATTGCGTACATCTCTTTGTTTTGAATTGTGTATCGATAATCGATATAAATAACACATAGTTGACAAACTCATAATAATAATTAATAAATAATAATAAATTAATAAATCACAGTTAAACCACATATAATCGACACTACTCACAAACACACAATAAATTTATTTTTTTTTTGAAAGAAGCCTGTGATAAATTATAAAGAGGTATAAATATAATAAAATTGGGGTTTTCGATAAAAGCTTAATCTTAATTGAAAAATGATAAAGTATATGATACAAAATTTAAGGTAGATATTATATTAAAGTGTTAAACTATCATACAATTACGGTAAATGAAATATTTATATGGTAGATAAAATATATTGGACGAGTATCAATATAAATAAAATTATTAAATGGAATGTTTAAATTTTAAAGCTAAATCGTATAGCGATTTTTTTGCGAAGAATTACCTAATAAGATAAATAAATTACAAAATAAAATTTTTATCTAATATCTCATCAAGAATCAAGA